ATAAAAACCCATGATACATATATGTATATATTATAAGCCCTCAGAACTTTCAATGTATCGCTGTTATGATGGGTCATTTAATTATTGACGACCGGTAGTATTCACTGCTCACTGGTGGCATTAGGGTCGTAAAACTTTTGAAATGCGAATTCAATACTATTTCAATAGGCCACATAGGGATTTAACATAAGCTGGAAACAAGAAAAATACGATGTGTTCGTACGGATAACCGAGCACGACGAAACTCGTACGTTGTTTCATTTAAATACGGAATCCTAATAGATATAGTTCTAAGCAAACTCATTTTCTATTCTATTACCTTATCACTTGTTCATCTAAGCGAAGTGTGTAAGAATGCGTAACTAAGAAATCGCTTCATCTATTAGCCAAGTGTTACAGTTAGCTCTCGTCCACATATCGTATAATACCTATTATAAATGTTTTTACATAACACTGATGCCAAACCGTGCATGGTGCAGTGGAATCGTTCAATCTTCATGCTTATTAACGGTGCGTTAGGAAAATTTTATCCGTACATTGATGAAGTACCATCGTGCATTCAAAAAAGCAGAAGTTCCATTTTTCACATAAAATGTAATTTAAATACATTTCAGTGCCTCGTAGTTTGCTTTGTTAAAGGCGGCTTTTGTACGCAATTTGTCTCTCAAACCCAAGGAATGAAATATTTTATTTGTGATTTTCGAAATCAGTTACACTACTTTGCAGTTTTTTCGCTGCCATAATTTATAAACTGGTCTACCATTATTAAGTCAAATGGTATTATGCGTTTTCTTAAATGTCTGTCTGTATTAATTTTAGGATTGGTTCCTACCAATCCTAAGATTAATACAGACAGATAATCTGAACAAATGAATTGCGCAAGATCCTTAATTATTTTATGGCCTGATCTAGCTCGAACAGGACCAATATTTGAGCTTCAGGTATTGCAACGGAGTTGGAGATAAAAATGTACTGTCGGACGTCAAATGTAGGGGCTCGTGAAACCCTCAGTTGTCGCTCCCGCCGTCGCTGGTTGCCCACGCGCCTCTCGCGTGAACATGCATATCCTAGTAGCCACTCCAATCATTTACAGGTCCGCGATCATGACCTTTTCGAGCTTTTGTAGTCTAAGTCCCATTTCCCATCCAAGATTAGCAACTTCTCTTAGCAGGCTCCGTCGGCCTATCTATGTTATCCACCTCAATTAAACTTCTTATATAATAATAATATATCATATATATATATATATATATATATATATATATATATATATATATATATATATATATATATATATATATATATATATTACCTTCTTTTAAAGTCATTCGTTTTGGGCAAATGAGCAGAAGTATCTCCTGATGTCAAGCGACTTTATTCGTCCATCGACAAGACAACTTAAGGTAGCAAATGGTCTGCAGGCCTTCTGACAATAGGTTAACCCTTTGGTAAATCTCACTTACTCGGTGATATGCAACAAAAAAAAATCTCAGCTAAGGTTTTCTGCATCACCTTGGTCAAGCCGGCCTTTTGTGTCGATAATTTACAATAACTGGCATACGATTACCAATTTTTTAATAGTATTTTTTTGCACTTGTTCTTCTGGGGCATCGTTTCCTTGTGACATATCTATACAACTACATGTTAAGCAACAAATAAATAGTTGAAATTATTTTATGATCTCGTTAAATGTGTTCACCGCGTTGCATTGCGTCAGTTGGTCCAGGAAGAGTGTAATATATGTATCATAGAATTTATTATTTTACGTGTTTTGTAACATAATTATTTATTGAAATACCAGTGCTTGCTCTGAAAACTATCTGCACCTTACTTGTTTAATTTTATTTTAATGAGGAATGTTTATATTAGTTGTGGCGATATGCTTGGTTTCTTAGTTTAAAAATGATAATAGTGAATCATAATAGTTTGATTTCTTTGGATTTGTTTTTTTTTTTGCATATTCCGTGAGAGTAATGTTTCATTTATTTTAGGTCGAAAGTGTATCCTACTGAACAATGGCATTCTGGTATATCCACGACCGAGGTGTTAGGTTCTCAGGGCAATCCCATTAATTATAAATGCATTTATTTTGTTAACCCTTCGTGCCTTGGAAAGCACGTTGTTATACTAACATCTGTGGCAATTGTTACGGTTAGTTGGAGCCCTAAAAAGTCCCACAACTTGGGTTGTTGAGGTCTGATGGCAGCCGCTCCACGTAAAAGTTTGGCAGTTTTGGAAAAAGGCTCGGAGGAAGAAGATCTATTTTGTTTAAGTATACTAATATAGTTTGTTTTTTTGGTTGAAGGCTTAAAAAGATACGAGTCAGATTGGTTTTTTTTTGCATTTGAGATGCAATTATTACGAGGTTTTTATAATTTATTTAATACACAATAGGCCATTTATCAGTCAACAATTTTTAGAAGTTGAATAGTCATATATAGACACATAAAAAGTTAAGAGCCGGCTTATCCTGGCTGGTAAAAGGACAGTTCAACTTTGTCTGAAACTCAGTGTGTGTAATGCTCGCACGAGATTTACAACTTGAGTGAATTTTTCAATAAGAACTTTTGACCGCGGCCTTGATCTCATAAGTTTCCATTTTTTCAAGCAATTGATCTTGGTTAAAATATAGCCTGCAATATTCCAGACTGCAATCCATCTCTTTTCTGTTTATCCAAATTCTTTGAGCTATTCTGGTGTGATTGAGTAACAAAACATCTAAACTTTTACATTCGTAATAGTAGTAGCATTATTCTTACGTTACCAAGGTAGACTTCACTTGCAGTTTTACTCAAACCTAAAATATGGTATTTCTTGCACCTTCTGCCATTTATTTGTATCTTCAAAAGCTGTATGTTTATAATGAATAACATTAATACAGTCAAACATAATGATCAACAAAGAAATCATATAACGCGATCGGAAGCAAGAGATGAGCGCTTCGCATAATCGATGTGCACGTCACCGCATCATTGCGCAATCGTAATTCATGTGGTTTATGATCGAAAGTGGAGCGAGACTGAACGCCCCACTATATGACGATAATGTGGATGGTATTGGCGCGTATAGTCAACGTCACTTCTTTCTTCGCTCAATTAAGAATATTAACATATCAAAGGCATTTTGTATTGCCTCTCAGGAATTGAAATTTTACCCACTAAAAAGTTGTCTAAATTTTGGAAAAAGTAATGTTCGGTAGGTGCAAGGTCTGGTGGTCACATGACAAGAGTTTGTTGCCTCCCGTCCAGCTGATTTTTACAAGAAGGGCATCAATAAACTGCCAATGCGTTGGCAAAGATGCGTCGATTGCATGGGTGATTACTTCGAATAACAGAAATAAAAAAGTTTGAAAAAATAAGTACTTTCACTTATTGCATACAAAACGGCAATTTCATAGGTAAAGACCTGTTATCATTTATCGGGCAGCCTATTTGAGTAAACGCGGTCGGTTATTTGTCAGATATAGCATTCACATCACGCATTTCGTCTTAACGATAATGTCTTAATTTAAGTCGACATCTGTTTTCGGAGATCTTTAACAAACATACGTATAAAGTTAGTGAGTAACGACTGTTTTAATCTTCTCAGATTGGCCTTATTGTCTTAGAGGCATAGGCAAATTTAATAAAGCTGAAAATGTTGTGGAAAATTCTTAACAATGTAATAAACGCAACCGCATAGTAAATATACTATGAGCCATGAAAATAGTGAGGTGTGAGTAATTGAACTAAAACCGGGGGCGTAAGGGAAACAGTGCTAAAACCACTTGACGAAATTGCTCGTTAACATGATATGTGTCATCACACATCAACAGCCTTTAATAGTCCACTGCTGGAGATAGGCCTCTCCTTAGAAAGGAGGTTTTGGTTTTGATATGTGTAATATAATAATAATATTCAACTGTTTTTGAGCAGTCTGGTTACCATAGCAAAATGCTCTGCTTATTTTGGAATCAGACTGCAGTGTGTGAGATGTGTGAAGTTATTTATTATTGGCATTATTATTTATTATTAGCATTACAGCATCTCTGGCTTTCTGTAACACATTTTCGTCCCTTTTAACGAAATCAGAACCGAGATCGAGAAATATCCCTATTTGGGATTGAATTCACAACTCTAGGTGTGGTAATAGCAAGGGGACCACTAAAAGCATCGAGTCATCCTTACAGTTGCGGATAAATGCCAGAAAGATATGTGAAGTTTCTCGTTTGGAAAGTGTCGGTCAACTGCGTCAAATGCTTGCGAGAAATCTATGTAAACCTATTCAATTGAATATGAAAGCTTTATGGATCAGGTTATCTAATAGTCGAGTCACTGTACTTTTGGCTTTCTTTTGTGACAGAAAATATTTGTGACAATTGCAAAACATTTAATAAACTCATACAATTTATTCACTCATGATTTATGCACGGTTAGTGAAGTATTAACAGTGAAGTTGTTAGATACCTTAACTTCTGAATCTTTACCTCCAAGCTTATGTCTTTTTAATATGGACTTTGAGAAAAAAACATCTTGAATATTCTTATCTGAAATAAATTATAGTTGACAAAATATTGCTGTTTTATACGTCACAACATAAGTTCTTGTGTATGATATACCCGTGATATGTTAATGCATATTATTCTTGTATACAATTTAAAAAAAAAAACAATTAAAATTTCATTTCATTAAATTATATTTTGTGAACCTCCAAAGAAGAATGTATAGAATAAATGTTTGTTTGAAAGATATACTACATGTGTAGTAGTCACGTGATAATCGTGATAGGCGTTAAGCCAATTGCCATCCAGTGGACAATCTAGAGATAAAAAAAAATGAAAATTTGAAATGGACAGGTATGTAAGAAAGAAAGGCAATGGAAAAAATGGTTATTACTTTTACAGATAGATTAAAAAGAGTAAACAATAGCTCAAGCAGCTTAGCTCAGAGTTCAGCTCAATAACTCCGAGCCTTCTAACAATTGATTATATTCGTTGTAGAGACAACATAATAGTATTAACAATGCCTAAAATAGATAAAGCCAATCTACACAATAATAAACCAATGAATCTGTTCTTTTACAGTTCTGCAAATGCCAAAAAGTGGGAGGTTGAGCTAGCTACCCTGAAGAGCAACAACCTGCGTCTGACCGCCGCGTTGCAGGAGAGCACTGCCAATGTTGACGAATGGAAGCGTCAGCTTCACCAATACAGAGAGGAAGTGGCGAGGGCTCGACATTACGCAGGAAAAGGTAGGAAGGGGTTGCGATAAATTAAATGTGTGGGTGTCTCAGTTGTAAGTTTCGGATTTGGTTTTAAACAACTCGTTTAAAGGAACACTTTTTTGACTCACCTGATAATAGCGCCGTCAGGTCTCAGCGCCCGCTGGTAATTGTATCACATCCTTTTAAATATAGATAATACTCATCATCATCTATTTTTGCTCTTTTTTTAAATATAACTTCTATTAGGAATACTTCCCTATCTAATACTTCCCTAACTTGTTTCTTAAAATGTCTCATGTCATCATCATCAACAGCCTATAACAGTCCACTGCTGAACATAGGCCTCTCCTTAGGAAGGAGGTTTTGGCCTACTATACCACGCTGGCCAAGGTTGGTATAGGGTTTGTTTCAAGTTTTCCTTCTCTTTCTTTGCAGTGCTGTTGTCCTGCGTAGTTTGCTTCCTTAGTCGGCTCTTACGACACTCACGGGATGAATAGGGGTGGTGACATTCCGTATTCTTAATCTGTCATCACACGGACAGTCAGACAATGTCTTATGTGTATACATCGAATTATTTCAGGTGCAGAAGCCAACGAAGTAGAACAGTTGCGACAGCGTGTTGCGCAGCTCGAAGCAGAATTAGCACAGAAGAATGAAGAGTTAGCGCAGATCACGAAATCAAAGAAGAGTGAACAGGTTCGTTTGTATTGAAAGGCTTCTCGTATTTAATGTGATAAACTATGTGTATCTCAGGATTCGGTACAAAACGTAGAAGAAATTTAGATTGTTATTTGTTGACATACTAGCCGTCCAGAAACACTTCGTTCAGTAAAAGTCTGTCGTAGTCCAATAAAAAAAAACTTATTTCAGAGTGACCAATTTTCCTTGAACTTTGGCATAAATTAATATCATACAGCCATATCAACTTGAAGGCATACCAAAGACAATCCTAACGCGCCTTTGCTTCTTTTGATTGACGTTTAATGTTTGACAGCTATGGACAGGTGTTTGAATTTACCTACTCTGTGGTTTGTATGGGAAAAGAAAAGTGTTTTTTGAAACTTTTATGTTTTTTTTCTCCGTAAGAACTTTCCATGTGTTTTAACGAAAATGTGAAATAAATAGCTCGAGTCGCTCTCAAGTTTTGCATTTGACGATTCATTTTTATTTAAATAGTTTTGATTACTTACCGCCTACGTAAGCATCTTAAATTTGTGTCAGAATACTATTAGTTTTCTAAATATTTTAAAAGTTGCTCCTTTCTTTCTACGTCACTTTTACATTCATTACAGGATTAATTCCAATCCGAGCTACCTGTAGAGTGGATATTATTACACTATCTACATCCAGCAGTCAGCAGTGCAATGCTTGTACTACTGATTTTACAACACGTTTAGGCATACCTATAGTCCATTTGCGTTAAGAAAATAGTGACGCATCGATTAAGCCCCGCCCCCTGACCAATCAGGTCTCAAGAAAATATCCTTTGTACGAAAGCTTTAGAATCTGCGGAACTTAATCGATGCGTCACCATTTTATACATCTTTTTTTTTAAATACAAACATTTTGTTTCTCGCATTAAAATATTTACACAGAGCGGGAATTTAACCCCTCACAGAGTGCATCTACATAGGTAGACATTTGATACAACATAGATTTTCTAATTTCCAGGACGCTGAAGCTAAATTAGCCCAAAGCCAGTTGGAGTTGGCTCTTGCCGCTCAGGACGGTCAGCGACAAGTGATCCAGGCGCTCAACGACCAACTGGCGCGGCAACTTGATGAGTTGGTGAGTCCAAAATGTCATATTTACATTGTTAGCTAATTAGATAATTGTCTTTTATTGTCGTTAAAGGGCTTTTTACTTACATTTCTTGAGTTGCAGGTATTAATCAATCTGGTAATCCCTATACCATAAAAATATTTTTTTCTTATAATTAACATTTTAAATATATCCTTGTTTTTTGCTATATGGAAGACTTGATTTTTTTCTCGTAACTTATTTTCGATGAGGGCATTTATTGGGAATAAATCTACAGAAATTAAGGAAGTTCTGTAAAGTAGTTGGTACTAGATTGTTTGTATTACAGCATCATCCAGCATCCATCTTAATGCGTTTTATCAATTGATAGACTGTGATAGGTCTATGCATTTATATATATAAAATTCATTGCCTTGATTGACTCACTGAAAGATTCATTAATGTAGAGCCTAAAAATTTTGCAGGCAGTTGATGCTTTTTCTGTTGTAAGCGTTCATTAAGAATAGATTTTGGGAAATAACATAGCCAAAGGGGTTAAATAAGGGATCAACGGTTGTATAAAAGTTCGTCACTTTCATAGTTAGAAACACATAATAAGAAATAATCATGAGAGTGAAGTATGTATGGAATAAGTTAGGTTTACTGAGAAGTGCTGCTACTATTTCATTTGGTGAAGTGAAAGATGTTGAAATTGATACAACGTGTGGTGGTGCAGAGCTCGATCCACCGCGAGCTGAGCGCGGCGCTGGCGACATGAGGCGCGGGCGGCGCGGCGCGCCTGCCGCTGCTGCTGCGCGCGCCCGCCCCCGCCCCCGCCCCCGCCCCCGCCCCCACACCCGCACCCGCGCTCGCCCCGCCGCGCGCGCACAAGTGACCGCCCCCCGGGGTACCGCGCCAACTGCACCGCCGTGACTAGACAGCGATACGGCCAACGAGAGAGATGAATGCCCGATATTTCCCTCTGTCTCTGTTTAGCGTTAACCCCCGGTCGACCGCAGAGCTCGACTAAAAAGACATAGAAGGGACCGTCTATTATCCATCTCTCTCTTTGCCCATATTTCAAGATTGGGGCTCTCGTTCTCTCTAGGTCTATCCATCGGGCTCTACGTACACCGTCTTCTGTGGAAACTGGACGATCGATCTTTTTAAACCCATATAACTCTTCTATAATCGTTTTAATGTGCAATAAAAGTGAACAGATAGAGTGTTATACTGTTAATGTTTCGAATCTTAGTAATTTCGATGTTATTATAAGTGTATTTAAGTTATTTTACTACCAAATAACATGGCATTAATCAATATATGTTTAAATGTCACACTGATCGCTATCACAGCTAAACTCCTGAATATCTAAGAACAATGTATTGTACCTATACAATATTGTATACACACCCTCACTCATGTTTTATCAATCGATGGGAAAACGTCAATATCCTTCAAAAAAATGTAATTGTACTGTTTTTTTTAAAGGTCTACAAGCAACCGATATTTCCTTTAACTCCTCCCGCTAAGCCAAATTGCTTGTGTTAGGAGTGGGTTCACGTCGGTAGTGTACTGGTCAGGATTCGAACCCACGACCTCTTGATCGCAAGTCCAATGCCTTCACCACTAGGCTACCGCCGCTAGATTTTAATTTTTCAAATAAAGAACTTCACTTAAATTCGACTCCTAATGGACAAAAAAAAATGAACGCGCAATCTGTCGAATATATCATGTTAAATATTACACTTCCTTAATAGAGGCGAAATAAACTTGAAATTTTAAGGTTCAATAATTGAATCACCACATCAAAAAAAACTGTCAGAATTTTCCAAATAAATTTCTTCGTAAGGCTCATTCTATGTTAACAGTTCTCTACTACATTGTTGGTTGTTTAATTAAGAATATTGCATAATTTTCGCAGTAGACACAATATCTTAACTGATATTAAATTGAGTCCGGTATGAGTTCATATATGGTATCAGGTTGGCGCTCCCTCGGTAATATCTATCATTAGAATACCCGACTCACTTCAAGTTGTAGTTAAACCTAACTACACTAAAAAATCACACACAGTAGAGACACACAGACGTCCCGACGTATTTTCAATTTTATGTTATTTAACATTGATAAGAAGAAAATTGTATGAGGTGTGGTTAGCGCGGCCAATATTGAACTTTATTCTATAGTGGTGAGAGTTCCTTTTTATTTAAATTTCTTGTTTAAATAAACCGTCTCTCATACTCTGCCCACGATTCTGGGTCAAGGCCTAAAGCAGTCACTTACCATCAGGTGAACCGACTCGCTTGCTTACACCCCCCCCCCCCCCCCCCCCCTCCATACCGTACCAGTACTATGATGTTGTAAACCAAATCGAAATTAATATAATACAGAGTATCGTGGTCTCTATCATCTCTGAATAATATAAAATATTCTCTAACATGTTTCCCTATCATCAATAATGTTATTATTGATAGTTTTGAGTCAATTCAAGTCAGTGATGTGGACCCACCCTTATGTCTCATGTAAATACGTTCTATTATCGTGTGACTACACGATCCAATGCCAAAAAAAAAAACTAATTTTATTAATGGTTAATGTATATTTTAAAACGTAGATTTTTAATGTAATATTATCGTAAGAAAAATGGCTGCACGGTTAAATACCGAATTAAAAATATAAATTAATAATTCTCTATGTTTTGATTTATGCCTGATTATGAGTATATAGTGTCAGGCTGTGCCATGTCCTAGTATATGTGTATATTGAACTATTCCATAAATATTATTAAAAAATATTAAAAACAAACATAAAACTTGGGTAATTTTGATAATTTTAACATAAGTCTCTAGGACTACGACCTAACTAACTTTAATGTCGAAATTACCCAATTTTTACTTAATTTAAAATAATAATCGGCTGATATTACGCCGTTTGATCCCTTTCACGGTTATACACTTGAGGCCAATAAAACTACTCAACGAAAGGGATTTTAAAACAATGAATGTAAAAGCTTCGATTTAAACGTAAAGTTTTTTGAACGCGTCAAATTTAAAGTATTGCGTAGTGCATAAGTGTTTATTCGATCAATAGATACAACCTTTACCTCGTTGTGTTAACGCTGAACTGTCTTGCATTTTATTATTCCCTTTTCTCGAATACATTCACCGATATCGTTATATTGTTAAGGTTATAATTTACTTGCTGTCTTGCTGGAGATCTCACTAAGAAAATAAACTGAGCCAAAAAAACGATCGTTCAAAGCTTATTTACATCATTAACACTTTTCCTCTTCTTTACCTGTAATCTGTGGAAGTTGTTTCTTTAGAAGGGACGGAAATGAGTAACAGGAAGTTATATGATTTGACTAATGCTAGAGTTGTCCATCAGATAGTAGGTGAGATGTTACACTTCATATGCGAGTAATGTAAGACTCGCTCCTTTTTATCTTATTTAAGAATATTACCAGAAAATAATAAGTTTGCTAAGTTTCAATTTAATTTGACTTTTTGAAGGGTCAAAATCACGTAACATACATTCATACCAAGCTAATAACACTAATTGAATAAAATGGACTGCCCAAATCGGGAATCGTTCGTTAATTTATTTATTTTAAGTCCTCTCTTTTTATGGCACAATACTTTTTATGAAAAAAAAAACATAATATGTTGACTGGTGCAACATTGTAAAACTGATAAATAGGTATTTAAAATTAAAAATGAGGAATGATTGCGAAGGGTGATTATTGTGTCTTATATGCATCATGAATACAAAAAAAATCTGAATGTGAGATCTTCAGTAACGACATTACACCAAAATAATTCCTGTCGTAACTATAAGTAGACTTATGAACATATTTCTGTTTAACTTTCCTACTGTGTAGGTGTATTCTATTATAATTATAAATAATAATTACTATATTAACGTAAAATTCCAATCTCGACGATTTTTAATTAATATATAAATATATCCTTAGATGTAAGTTGTTAGTCGGATGTGCAAAATTATTTATTTAAAGAAAAATACACTTTATGGTAAAGTCAAATCAATAGTTTTTTAATATATGAAAAATCTTGTTTAAGGTTCAAAATGTAATGTATTTTCTTTTAAAAACAATAATTTTGCACGTCCACATTGTGTATGTAATACAGTTATAATCGTCACTGGTATCCGTCTACTTACTCCCAAATGTTGATGTAGGTTCTAATTTCAACATTATTTCCGTTGTTATAAGTTTCATATTCGTTTGAAAACCCTGTATTTCATAGATCCCTTAGCAAATTAGTAATAACACTTTGACAGATAATGTTATCGAGTTTGAGTACATTTTTATTATTATTATTATTTTAATTATTTTTATTCTATAAAATAAGCTTTAAGTACCGTTTAAGTAGTAGTCGTTAAAACATTTTGCGTTGTTCTGAATTTTTTTTTCGGAATTCAAGAGTAGGTAATTATTATCTGTCAAATTATTGAAAAAAAAAAATTGGAAACAAAATGATATCATTGAAAGGCTGAGGACACAATTTTTAAGATATACAATGTCTTCTGAACAGGGTAACTTTGGTTTACTGTTGCGTGATTTTTGAATAGTAAACGTTGTTATCGATTTTTACTCTTGTCTACTGAACGAGCACCGTTTCGTCGTAGTCGCTGTACTTGTGTTGTTCTGTGCGAGGTGCGGCGGTGACCTTCACACAACAATTGTCAAACATACTCTCTAAATATAACATGTAGATTTACCAAAACATTCATATGTAACTCTAACTTTCAAACTATCTTACGTGTTTAGTTTTGTATGTACATTATTTTATATTATTTAATAGTTAAATTAATTCATAGCTATACTAGGTAATAATGTTTAATAAACAATATTTATTTGTATAATAATATATGTTTATCAATATATATGTAATTAATAAATGTAGTAACCGAATGATCTGTTGGATATTTGAGAAATGTAATATAACATTAGGTAATGTTTAAGTGTTATTTCCAACTATATAATTTGTAAAACCGATTATAAGTGTGCAGTATAATGTATGACATTTATAGTAAATATAGTAATATGTACCGATATCATAGCGGCGTTATCACATAAGTGATGTATTGCATTTTTGAACATGGACGGCTTTTTTTTTTGATCTTGTGACCAATTTTTTTGGCCCGATGTGTTTATTTATGGTTCGGTGTGAAGACAACCTTTGTCTATTGATGAACGTTAAAGTAATTTATGACTTTATAAATAAATACTGATCTAGTTTCAGACGAAAAATATATGTATAATATTGTATATGGCCTTGTGGTGTCATGGTTTGCGATTAACCTTTTTGGTCAGTATTTATAATTAAAATAATTTTTATCAGTATTAATTCATAGATTTTGGAGCTAAAATGAAATGAAAAGTAAGTTTTGTATGTACGTTTGTGTAAAATAGATAAGGGTTGGTAATTATTTGCTCGGACCTGACCTCCCCCCACCGAATACCGCTGGCGCGCCAATTGTTTAGCCAGCGAGTGTCAGTTGAAGGAGTGCTTGAAACATTGGTCACTTGTATTGTTGTATTGTAATCGCATTATTAGTTTTAAATTGTAATTTATTCGATACAAATCGATATAGTCTGCTTTGCATTTGCTTTATTTCAAAGTGAGTTATGACGTCACAATTTCTAAATTGATTGACAACGAGTAGCACCCCCCCGGTGGAGGCTATGACGTCTGTTTGCCACTTTAGTGGTATAAAAAATATTGTCAGATAATACTTTGAAAGTTACCATTC